CGACACCTATGCGTTACTTGGACAGAGGTGGAAATTCTGTCATCGCGTATAAAGAGCTCATGCGATAAAAGCCAAGTCTTACAGTCGGTTTTCAATAACTAAAATCTATTTATTTTCATGAAATAGTAAAATATTTAAATTTAAATATTTAATATTAAAGCATGAGACACCGTATACTAAAATCTAGAGATTTGACTACATACATCTTCTAACAACATTGTAAGTTCTTAACCACATTTCAATAACACTTTTTATTTACTTTGATTTGATTTTATTATAACCAACATATAATATACAATATATAACATATATGTATATACATATATAACAACAACTTTGCCGATACAAAGATAAAAATATGCCGTATCTGGATTTTTGGTAGGTATAAAACTTTCTACCCAAGAATTGTACAATAAAAATTATTACATATTCAAGAATTTCTAGTATTAAAAATCAAGTCAGTAGGCCAAACATTTCAAATTTTTACATAGTAAAGAAAATTTAATATACAAATCATATATATATATTTTTTCAATAACTTAACTCAAATTCTCTTTGGCTATTAAATATAATTTTTTCTTTCAAAATTTAATGTCAGTTCTGTCTAAGAAAAATAAAACATAATGGCGCGCCGGTTGTCGATGGTCAGAAAACATATTATTTATATGAAAATGCGGGAACAGGAGCGTTTGCAGGAAGAGCAGGAGAGAGCAGAGGTAATTAAAAGCTTTAGTTTATAATTAATACAACGAATGTGTTATACCTTAAATTACGAGCCTGTGCACTATATTCCGATTTTCGTAAGATGTTTTATTTTAACTTTCATTTTATGCAAATCGGGTGCAATGTGCTTATATCTTCTCCAGAGCTATTAACTATGAATTGCATAATTGACATCTTGAAAGTGTCTTACACATGCTATACTTGGAAAATACTGTAGCGATATGTGGGTCGCTGCATTTGATATTTGACAAATCAAAAATAAGGTTATGTTTAAGTGGCAGCTTTATGCACCGAATTCGACTTAAGCATAAATAATGGGCTCGGATGAGATATTTTCAGTGTGACAGACGCAAAAAATCACCTTAAAGGTAGAAGTTCTAAAGATATTATGCATGAACCGCGACTTCTCATACAAAGCGAAGGAAATCAACCCAGTTCGAATCCTCATCTAACCAGATTTTCATGCTTATCCAATATAAATGAAAACTTCAATTCAAAGTTCCACATCTATAAAACAATCACTAATTTAATGGATTATAAAATTTTTATAAGTTGATTAGTAGAAATTTTAACGATATTCATAAAGGTCAGATTTTAGTCATTTTCATATGTGAAATAATGAACTTAAGCCACCTTCACATTTTACAAATCAATATGTCAATAACAATCTTTTATTCAATATTATTTTAACCAACTTTACTTGCTAATATATTCTCATATGTTATTATATATATTTATGTAATATCTCTAAAATGAAAACTTTGTCTATTTTGTCTCAATTTAGGCCTTAGCTCAAGAAAACAATAGCGGTGCACCAGCCAACGAACCCACACCTTCTGCATCAGAACCTGTTAAGAAGTCATCTGTTTGTGGATTTTTGAAAAATCTATTTTTTGGAAATAAAAACTGAAAATGATTTAGTAATGAGACATTCCATTAATTCAGAAAACATTTTAGATATCTTAATATGGCTGGGTCCAAAATATTCCGTTTGGAACCATTTGAATATCTTTGAAATAGTTAGCTTATATATGACAGTATATTAGTCAGCAGTCAAATATGATTCTTTTGGTTCAGTTACGAGCTCTTAACAAAACAAGTAACGCTTTGTAAATTTTATCCAGATGATAAGCTTTTAGAACTTTAAGTTGAAAAACTTCTTCTAACATATAAAATTCTTGTCTCTGGACTTGGATTGAAAAGGTTCTGCATAGATCACTTGCATACGATACGTATTGTCATTAGGAACATACAATGTGTTATTACTTTATAATCGTATTTCATTCGGAGCTAATATCATTGGATAGAGAAAGAGAATAATCGTGCGAACAAACATATATTCACAGTGAAAATCAGATTCGTTTTTCTGGAATGTAAAAATGGATGCTAAATAAATGGTATGTGAATTTAAATTCAATAATAATACTCATCTATAATATACTTATCTCAATTATCTTCCTAGCGTAACTTTTCAGTTAAAGGACTGATATTTGCTCATATTAAAGTGTTTTGTTAACAAATATTATAACTCACGTTTAGTTATTTGACGCTGTTCATGCCATTCCAGAACGACGAGCGACGAGGTCTCATTTGATGAGATCCATTGCGACAATCTTTGTGACGATACTTTATTAAACAAGCATGCACATGTATTTGATTCATAAAAAGGATTACTTCTACTGTAGAAAATGTTTCGAAATATGTAATTTCATTTAAGATATATCTTAAATGATAAGCACAATCAACTAACAGTAGAATACTATTCTAAGCATGGCACATTGCCCTAACTGCATTACGTGAAGAAATTTATTAGTAACTGTATTGCATGAAGAAGTATTAGTATAGTTACTAAAACTCCAGTGGTATCAATCTAATATTGTCAACACAAGGTAAGTATAATTAAATTCATATTACCGTCATTAACTTTTATATATTAGGTTTGATGTTCTCAACATCATGGATATTGATCGAGAAGGCCCGTACATACAAGACGATAATATTGGTATGCGAATCAGACACATGTATTTTATATTTCAATAATCTTAGCCATTATTCACTTGATAATTTAAAACTAGAAACAATAATATAACTAACAAGCCCGGCTATATAATGTGATAAAGAGTGTAGATATCTATAAAATACTTGCTTAAAATGATTTAATAGACGTGACCACATACTCATGTATTTCAATTTATAGAAGTCTTATCGAAATGTATTTAAATACTGGATGTATAAGTTTATCTTTTAGTTTTTCTTTGCATGTCAACTCTCAAATATCCGTCTGCTAATAAAAATCCTACTATTGCGTTCAACGAGTACCTATACCTATACCTATAGTATCTATAGCTTCAATTAACTGATATATGAATCCAAGAGGAACTATCACAAAATAACTATGATCAAATTCTTTTTATCTTTATATGCTCTAACATTTAGTGCTTTAAAGACTCACATATTCATAAGCTATGAATATGTAGTATTACCTAGGTGTTTTTAACATACATATATACACTTTCAATATATACATTATTATTTGGTATATTGATTTAAACAAACTTTTTTAAGACTGGAAAACGCACTGCAGAACTATTAAGTATTTTTCAAGATGTGACAGCATGATGGACCTGTAGTATAATAGACCACCATAGCCGATTTGATGGAGTGTTCTAACTTTTATCTTGGTGGTTTTATTAGAAAGGAGTGATGGCTTTAAACGGTACGTGAATACTGTGAAACAACAAACTTTTACCAATCTAGCAATTTTTTTTTCAGCACCTATATCACACTTAGCACCATAATATAATTATTTGAAGATATGTGGTGGAACTAATTGATATGTAAGAGACATAAAAATTGAATGTCTGCACGCTCATTAGGAATTGGATTTTTAAGAATTTTATTATTTAAAATTATTAGTAATGATAAATATGTAATAAAAATCTGACTATATCATATAATGTTAATAAATTTATAATAAGTAGACAGAATGTATTGGACTTTATATATCATACGCAGTTCATTCTATAAAAAAAATCTTAATAGAAGTTTCATTACGGTGTAAAGAAATCGGAAGTGTGTTGTGTATTAACAATAACAAATTTTTGATTTGGTGTTGTGAGATATAATCAAAGATTTGAACACATTTCTTTTAAATCATTCCACAAGTTAGTTTATTTCTTACAAATAAGAACAGCTCACATACTAACAATGAACACATATGGTATATTAGGTTGTGTTAGATTTTATTGGAAGAACATGTGAAACATTCTTACTTGAAGCCATCTATTCATGATTGTTATGATATTGAAAATATTAGGGGAGACCCGCTACCAATAATTGTTTTCAATATAGCTCCTTAAATCATTTGAAATCATTGTCATTGTCTTCTTGATAAAGTCAACCAAGTAAAAAGACGGCTTCCCAGATGTTGAAGATGAAGAAAAGGCTGGATAGATTGCATCTCCTATTCACAATTGTAACTCCTACATAGTCCGCTTGTCAGAATGGATCACCGTTGAAATGAGCATAAAAGATATTTAAGTCTTCTTACATCTAATCTGGGTCATATGATCCAAATAATATCGCAGTCCATGCAATTAGTGAATAAAAGATTCGTGAACGCATTTGTAGATTCAGCTAAGCAACTAAGTGTTTACAAAAATCATGATATCCAAATGTAGAGTTTCATATATACGTAGTAATCCGATTTGTTTCTCTATTTTGCATAATATATATATATATGTACATGTCCTAATCTTTCACCCATCAAATAATTCTTAATAAGTTTAAAACAGCCTTTCAGACATCTTGACAACTGTGTAATATTAAGAGATATATACTAACTCGCCTTCCATCAAACAAAGAAGAAGACGTTATCGTAAGCGAAACAAGAATGATTTAATTCGTTTAATTAAATTAAATGAGGATGTAATTATTTCAAATAAGGAAGAGGAATTTCTCGTACTTTATGTCATTAATTGGAATTTTAGTTGTACTTTGATATATAGAGTGCAGGACTCTATTGAAAAATCTGAAGATGGCAATGTGTCAATAGTTTTGACAGTAACACACGTCTCGACGAGTGAGAAAATGAGAATTTATTCTAAAGAACTCGTTTCCCAAATTAAATCAGTTATTCCATATTCCATAGTCTAAAAGCCATGGTATCCTTATTTTTTTCTCCACATATACTGATTCAAAATATACATGCATACATCCAATGTCAAAAGTCTCAATGACTAGACGATGGGCTGTTTAGATTCATTAAGAGCTCTCATAATAGTACTATCAAATAGATGAAATATTAAGTATTATTAACTCTTTTCATGACAGTTGACTTCTCAATGCATTTGCTTCGACATTCTTTCCTCTGTGGCTTATTCATAATTGAACTTAGTTCCAGACATCATTCGAAATAAATAAAAATTAAATTAAAATTTTGTTTTAAAAACTAAGTAATCATTGACTTGAATGTGTTATTATTTGTGAATTAATGATATGAAAGTTTAATATTAAAATCAAATATTTTATTTATTTATAGTAAAAGTAATAAAAACTTTTACAGTCAAAATTTTAGTGGAATTTTGAGAAAAAAAAATTAATTGAATCATGTATACAAAACTTCAAGTGTTGGAGTCACAAATTCGCTATATAACTAATTATTATAATACAAAATCAGCACTCTCTCACCAGGTAATCCGCGATTTTATAATATTTATGATTATTCAAGATTAGGAAAATGGGTTCTTGTGCGATTTCTTATTTGAAACAATTGCAATTTTATACTTAAAGTCACTATTAGTATCTGATAGTTAGAAAAAGAGATTGAAATGAATTGACTGCATTTACTGTAAGTCATGCCTGTTTCAATAATCATTCAAAAAAAAAGTACATATATACCTATATGTGCGTATAGCATTACAGTCACTTCTAAATAGGTTTAGTTTTCAAAAAATAATAATAATAGCCCGCCATATATTTAATGATATATTATCAGTCGTTACATCTAAACACACCTTCTTCACAACCCAGTGGAAAGATTGTGGAAGGCTTCACATCGATATTGACATCACACTTTCTGAGTTCATATCATAATTAAGTTATTGATTAAACTTTCTCTTTTTGTTTAGAATCTGCAAGAAAAGAAAACTCCATTCCTCCTCAGTGGTTTTAATAAATTGAATGTAGAGAATGTAATAAACCAAATATCTTCCAAATTCCAAGCAAATTAGATACGAAGCTGCTAAAACGTAAGTAAGTTATTGATATATCTCTACTTTTTTTAATAAGATAATTCTAAATAAATAAGAACTGATCAAAATGATAATATTAAATGATTGAATTAACGAGAATTTCAGTTATTTTACTCATAAGCTTTATATCCAATGAACATACGTCTCGCCTACGATCTATGGAGGATCATGTTCCGTTCTTTTTAGAAAGAATAAAATTTACGGCCAATAATAAAAATTAAAGTCAATATAAAAATGTTCCTTTGATGGACATCTGGTTTCATAACTACATTGGACTGGAACTTTTTCTATATGCAGACAAAGCTAAGTAAAGTGAAAGTCTTTATAGAATATAGTCTTTACATATTTTTTAGGAAGCTGATAATTTACCCAGTGAACACTTCGTTTGATAACTTTTATCCTGATTTTCATAGATGAGTTCTTCTCAATTATTCGAATAGTAGAAAGTAAGCTTGGCTTAGTAAGCGGTCGCCTCTCTAAATCGGAAATAATCCCGAAATTGCATAGTTTGCTTAAACCCCAGATTTAAACATTAGTGTGAAACGAAATAATCGCTTATTTAAATATAAAAGTGTACTTCATTCATTCTTCTATACGGTATTTTGATCAGAAATTTTATTATTTGTTTTCATTTATTTATTTAATTATGATTATGCCGGGATAATTGATTCTTTTGACAATACCACCGTAAAGGTACATCTTTGTCATCTTTTCATTTCACTTTTTTGGTAAATGTCGAAAGCTTTTAGATCTTTAAAGTAAAAAATAGTAAATCTTAGTTTATAACTTTATCTTACTTTTGATATGGGTATGGGTAAGTAGAAAGAGGTGACGCTCAGTTATTCCCGAGAATCAACACTACTGGATTAAAAAAGAATGCTATGACATCTCATAATTTCAGAGGTACTTCAATTCTCAACTGGAATTAATATTTTTAATTTGAACTCAATTTTAAAGCATCGGTCAATGACTGAACTGAACAGATTTCTGGAGATGGGATGAAAACGAATGTCAAGTTGTAGTGATGATATATAATGTAAATAATATGTAAAATATTCCAGTATTGAATTGAAAAACAAATCAGTAGGCCGAATATTTTCAAATATTTGAGTTTGTTTAAATAGTAAAAGAAATTTAATGTAAAAATCATATATATATTTTTTCAACACCATAACTCAAATTCTCTTTGGCTATTAAATATTTACTTTTCTTTCAAAATTTAATGTCAGTTCTGTCTAAGAAAAATAAAACATAATGGCGCGCCGGTTGTCGATGGTCAGAAAACATATTATTTATATGAAAATGCGGGAACAAGAGCGATTGCAGGAAGAGCAGGAGAGAGCAGAGGTAATTAAATGCTTAAGTTTATTATTAATACAATAAATGTGTTATACCTTAAATTACGAGTCTGTGCACTATATTCCGATTTCAAATCGTATGCAATGTGCTTATATTTTCTCCAGAGCTATTAACTATGAATTGCATAATTGACATTTTGAAAGTGTCTTACACATGCTATACTTAGAAAATACTATAGCGATATGTGGGTCCCTGCATTTGATATTTGACAAATCAAAAATAAGGTTATGTTTAAGTGGCAGCTTTAAGCATAAATAATGGCTTCGGATGAGATATTATCAGTGTGACAGACGCAAAAAATCACCTCAAAGGTAGAAGTTCTGAAGATATTATGCATGAACCGCGACTTCTCATACAAAGCGAAGGAAATCAACCCATTTAGAATCGTCATCTAACCAGACTTTCATGCTAATGGAATATAAATGAAAAGTTCAATTCAAAGTTCCACATCTATAAAACAATCACTAATTCAATGGATTATAAAATTTCTATAAGTTACCATAATTAGTAGAAATTTTAACGATATTTGCAAAGGTCAGATTTTAGTCATTTCCATATGTGAAATAATGAACTTAAGCCACCTTCACATTTTACAAATCAATATGTCAATAACAATCTTTTATTCAATATTATTTTAACCAATTTTATTTGCTAATATATTTTCATATGTTATGTATATAATATCTCGAAAATGAAAACTTTGTCTATTTTGTCTCAATTTAGGCCTTAGCTCAAGAAAACAATAGCGGTGCCCCAGCCAACGAACCCACACCTTCTGCATCAGAACCTGTTAAGAAGTCATCTGTTTGTGGATTTCTGAAAAATCTATTTTTTGGAAATAAAAACTGAAACGTGTTCTTTCCAAAAAAATATTAAAAAATGAGATGTAATAAATCAAAGTGAGTATAATTATGTATTTTTATGAATAATGTAATAATATTTTTTAATTATACATTATATTCACACTACATTCTGATATATAAAACTTTTATGTCTGGTCTAAAATAGAAAAGGTTCTACAGAGAGAAGTGACAAACTGTAATGATTTGAAATTCCTGCGTCGATCACTTGCATGCGATACTTAGTGTTATTAGGAAAATTTTATATTTTATGACCACCTATTCATATTTTATTCGGAACTAATATGCCATAGTAAAAAGTGAATAATTATGAACACAAACATCTGTTCAGAGTGCAAATCAGATCCGCTTTTTTTCACTGGAAAAATAGATACCATATAAATGGTAGGTGAATAAAAGTCAATAATTGCACTTATCTATAATGTATTTATCTTGATTAT